CACCAAATGTAATCCAAATGATGCGTTGCACCCGCAGTCCTCTCTGGCGGAATACAGTAGGTTTGTGTGATCCAGAGCAGAATTTATGTTGTTAATCGCTGAAAATATTATACAGATAATTTTCCTGATCCACTCCGTCAACTCGTGAAGGCGCGCGCGCAATGCGCATCATTCAAACACACCTCACCAGAAACATGGCTTGTCGCAATCTGTGACGAATGCAGGCGAGAGCCAATGAGCGTTCGATTATCCTGCCGTAAAACCTGTCGTTTGAAGCGGCAACATTTGAATTTGTAAAGAGCTCGTTAGTCAGCGCAGGCTTTGCTGCTCACGGTCACTGGACTCGCTGCTCGGGATGGAGAAGAAGATCGCCGAAAAAAGGCTTGGATTTGGGTCTGTTCCTCGCAGTCGTATGGATTCGGAAGATTTGGATTACAGCGCATGAATAAAATTGTTTCATTTCGTAAATGTTGCGTTTTTGGTGTATTTTATAGTTCTATTGTTAGTCACAATATAGTTTTACTGATTGATTGGCAATTAATGTTAGTACACAACAGACCAAGCAGAACATCATTTAGAGATAACTGATCAATGGTTCTAGTATTTTTCCATGTTGTGAATTCATTTTTTATTTCATAAAATGCTTACATATTTTGTGTTGTCTCTTATTAATGCAGAGTCATCACAAAATAACAAGGATTTATGATGATGTTGTCCAAACCCCTCTTTGCCTGGGGCATTTCCAAACTTTTGGATGGCAATGTAGATATGCACATATATTACACTATAAGTGTCACTCACACAAATTTGCCAGGGCTGCATTTCTCGATAATGATTGATGTTAGAGCTTAAATGGGTCATATGGCATTGCTAAAAAGAACATTATGTTGTGTATTTGGTGTAATGTGTTTATGCGGTTTAAGGTTCAAAAAACCTTTATTTTCCACATAATGTACATTAATGTTGCTCCTCTATGCCCCGCCTTTCTGAAACGTGTAGATTTTTACAAAACTCATTGTTCTGAAAAGCGAGGTGTACTCTGATTTGCCAGCTATCCAGTGCGTTGTGATTGGCTGAATACCTCAAGCGTGTGACGGAAATGTTACACCCCTCACCATACTGTGATGCCGTGTCCCGGTGCGATGAGACAACACCAATAAAACCATTACAAACGAGTCATTTGTTGCATCCAGAGGGGACATAATTACTGATTATAATGACTTATACTGTCTTTTTACACGTTGCGTATCGTGCCGCATAAACATAAAACCATGTCTGCATTTGTGATCGGAGAAACGACAAACAGCAAGCGCTACTCTACACTGCTCAAAACTCGTGTTTGAATCATCAGTGGCAAATCCTTTAAATATAAAAAAACTGAGAAACTGCAAAGTTGGAACTGCCCCACTTTAAAGAAACAGCCTTTGTGCACAGATGCTGTAACACAGAGGCAGTGGCGTTAGGATCCATGTGCAGCTTTATTAGATCACAAGGCAGGTCATACAGGCATAAATCGTCACCAGGTGTCAGACACAACGAAGGCTGGGCAGAATCGTAAACAGAGTTCGTTATAAGGGTCGAGGCAGGCGGCAGACAAACACTGGCAAGAATCAGCAAGGCAGGCAGGGTCAGAATAGGTAGGCAGCAAGCAATCGTAATCGGGAATTCAGTCCAGGTAATAAACAGGAAATCAAAACAGGGAAAACTCTCAGAAATGTCTGCTAGGCAAAACAAGACTTCACAAGGAGACCAGGGACGGCACAATATAAATAGACCGGGTAGATGGGGAACACCTGTGCAGGTGATTAGTCTCTGGCAAGGTGCATTGTGGGAATTGGAGTCCGAGGGGATATTTAGTACTCCGGTGATGGTTCCCTTTGGTGGTGATCGGAGGGAGCCACAGAGGCTGAATTTGTGACAGATACATTGTAGGCTACTCTGCAGGTTCAGGAAACAGTCCTTCATAAAATGCGTTGCACACATCTGAATATTTGGGTTGAACTGTTCTGGAACAGTTTTGTAAATACAACTTAACCACTGATTTCTAGTTGTGTCCTCTTTTGGAAGACCAAACAAAGTAGTTTCACACAGCGTCACACACGACGGGTTTGAGAATGGCGTGGCCGTCGGATTCGACAAAGGAGCGGTCGGCGGGCTTGCGGCAACCACATGTGACGACCCCGGGCTGGAATCCGCTTCGTCCACGGTGAAAGCCGATCCGGCGATCCACAGCGCAAAGTTGATGTATTTCCTCAGCTACCAGCACGGATCAGCTCCAGGCATGACGAAGCGGATATCGTCCTCTTTTGGAAGACCAAAGTAGTTACGCTTTCACAAGGAAACACACAGCATCTCCACGACATCGCGGCGGCAACAACAATACTACAGCGAGAATCAAAGTTACGCCTTCTTTCTTTGCGTGAACATTTGGGCAGCATTATGCAAATCTTCCCACACAGTGACGTAGACATGTGGGGGCATGTTTAAACGAGGCGCTTTAGGAGGGCGTGGACAAGTCTTAAATTTTATAAAGAATATCTCTTTGGGTTTGAGACTTTAGTCTTTGCAGCTCGTTTATTGAAATGTTAACCTAAAGCTGCATTCCAGACAACTCGGATATAATAACAATTATATTACATTATATTATATTATACATATAACATTATACTTTACATAATAATAATAATACAATTTCCTACATTACTTTCATACATTTCATACATTATTCATTTTTTGTTCAATCATTTAATTTAGATGTGTATTTCAATTTTTTCTGTCCTTTTTAATTATTTCATTTATAAATTCATATGTAACACTCCAAAGAGAAAGGAAAACTTGAAATCGCATCATATGACTCCTTTAATAAATGCATACATGTTTAATTTTCATTTATACTTAAAATGTATTTTTGTATTTTTTAAATTTTAAATTTTACAAGCTGATTGTGCATAGATAAGATCCCTGAAGTTGCAAAGACTAAAGTCTCAAAACCAAAGAGATATTCTTTAACAAAGTTAAGACTCTGCCACGCCCCCCTAAAACAGCTCGTTTCTAACACGCCCCCACATATCTACCTCACTATGTGGAAATATTTGCATAATGCCGCCCAAATGTGCACGCAAAGAAAGAAGACGTTGTAACGAATCAGCTCACATGAAATATGAATAACTAACCATAACTAGTTATAATTAATTATTCGGCAGAGTACAGACAGGGTTCTTTGGGATGGATGGTGATTACAACTAGTTTTGTTAAATAATAGGCTAGTGCTTTCACATTGTTCTTCTTGCCTGTCTATGACTGACTTTAATTCACTACATATACTGCTGAGTCAGGTCTTAAAACAGTGGTGAGCATGGCATAGTCTCTGAGGGAACATTTCAATGTGACACCTTCTCATAAAAAAAAAAACAAAAAAAATCTTCAGAAAACCTTTTTGGAGATTTTTGGTTGAGCACAATAATCATTGCTTTCAACTAAGCATTCATAAATTAACAAAAATATTTTAGAAAATTGTCTTAATTTGGAAAGTCATTTAAATATGATTGTTCCCATTGTTTTTGTTGTTGTTGCTTTAATTGGCATATCTGCCACAGCCCATCATGTGTGATGCGTTTATGTAATACATCGAGTGACAAAAAGATGAATGCAACACAAGAGTTAACGTTACCATCTACCGTCCTCAGGGACTTTGAGGCATCACACACAGATGCATGCACACATACAGTACACACTGATATTCATTAGACATGATTCATGTACTTACATACTGCACCAGTGTAATAACAGCACACCAGAGACACGGGCTACACCACCACTCATGCACTGACCATTGTGTAATATGTTGCACTTACATTTGGCCACAACAATAATAATAATACAAAAACATTACAATTCTGCATGCTAACAATTAAGCAGAACCTCAAATCTGTCCTGTGCCAAGACTCTTTCGATTGCATTAAAATAGACTGAGGGTACTGAAATTCAGGAATGGCACACAGACTACAATTAGGATCCAATCACCACTCTACTCCATTCACACTGCCATTTAAATAAGCGTTCAACAAATAAGTGTCTTTCAACCTGCTATCTCGGTGCATTTTGTCTAACATATCTTGCAATATTTATTGCTTGTGATTTCTTGTTTACTTGTAATTGCACAATGACTTACTATCAATGAATTAATGAGTGTGCCGTGCAGTATGCTTATATGTATTTAGCCTATACCGCACAGTTGTCTGCAGACATTTGGAAAAACATTTATAGTTACTTAAGTAAATTTTTCACTAATGGATCTAAACTGTCTATAAAGGAGCATTTCATTATTATATCATCTAGTAATTTACTATTTGTTAACATTTTGAATAGTTTTAATCTGATTAATTCTTTTTTATCTTTATTTTCTATTCTTTATTTTTATTTCTTATATCTATTTCTATCCTGTTCACCCTATCCTGTTACATTTTACATTATATTCTATACTATTACATTCAAAACTTCAACAGAAAGTTCTGTACTCATGTGTTAAGATTTATGCAGTATGCACATAACTTGTGAACAAAGCGCCCTGCAAACAAAACGAGACAGTCTGAATACTATTACATTCAAAACTTCAACAGAAAGTTCTGTACTCATGTGTTAAGATTTATGCAGTATGCACATAACTTGCAAACAAAACGAGACAGTCCGCACAGCATGCGTTTCCTTCACATTCACATTATATATATTCACCGTTCAAGGCCAACACAGCGTGCAGACAGCCGTGACTTGATCTCGACACAATTACTATTGCATTTGTTATTGCGTGTGTTTTTAAACACTTACTTCTGTGGCTGGAGTACCCGGGTTTATAGCCGTAATAACCAGTGATTCGTAATATCCGATCCTCAATGTCATGGACCCCGTTGGCCGTCACTTGAGGCGCATCCCAGCGGCTGTTCACCTGCGGAGACGCCTTGCCCGCTAGGTGCGGGCTCTTGCCCGGTAGGTGCTCCAGGCGAAAGCAGGGCTCCTCTCCCGAATTCTGGATCTCCGTGCTGGTCATTTTACCTCTGCACGGGCAAAACGGCAGCTTTTTAGGTCGCAAGCGATAACCATACGAAACCCGCTGCTGAGAGCATCACCCGAGTCAAATTCCAGCACACGTTGCTTTGAGGAGTCGCTCAGGGTTGTGTGAAACTTGCCCAGCGCCTTTCATGCATCAGGCAACAGGGGGCGTCACGCTGCTCCGAACAGATGGCAGCGAGCACTGAGAGGTCCGATTCATTTAGGCGAATCGGTTCGTTCGTTTCAGTGAACCGCTTCACAAAAGCCGATTCACTGATTCTATTCAGTTATCAGCGTTTTATTTTTTTTGTTAAAAAAAAACATTGTATTTTTACTTAAGTAAAGTGTGATTTAACAGAGGGCTGTTTTGTTTATGGTTCGTATCACTCACCTCACAGTTACACTGTGTTTGTGATTTACAAACGCGATTCGGTTCGAATGAATCAATAAAAAGAACCCGTTCAAAAGAACGATTCGCTCGAGATTCAGGTAGAGTGGACGCAGTGGACAACTGCCGTAGTTATTATAAAAGAGACACGAGTGCATCGTGGTGCCGTAATCATGTTACTATTGGGCTCCTCCCTGAAATATTTTAACATGCAATGTTGCTTAAGGTGCCTTTCAAGGCATTGTAGTCAGCATTTCATACTATTGCATGCCAACTAGGGGTATATGCAATCTTAAAGACTTAGGTCTAAAGGAGTCACTGAAATATTCAACACAGAAAAGGTGGACATGAATACATGGATACGACAGTGAACAGTGTGTTATATATTTTCTGGAAAATGTTTTGGACCAGGTTTATAGCCTAGTGTAAAACTGAGACAGACAGACACATAGATAAGTAAAGAGACAGTGTTTGTCCAGTCTATGCTTGAATTGCTTTCTCTGTTTTTAGTGCACATATGTTACACTTTAATACTTCAGTGGCCTGCGGCTGTGTCTCTATTTATTGTTTTTCATCACATATTTATGAGGCCTTGAGAGTGAGAGTGTAGTAGCTCTGAGATGGTGCCACAAGGCTATTTTGCCCGACATAATTAGATTCAGCTAGCTCCACGGAATCTGCATTCAGGGATAATTTCTCCACTCCTGATTGTTAATGTGAGTGATACAATTCATGCTTTAGCTATAATCACAGAGGCACAGTTGTCATAAAAGTCTTATTGAGTCGATTTAGCACACAGTTTGGACCTCTCCCACACCAGCAAGTATAAGAACACACATTCAGATCTAGAGCAAAGCACTATAAAATGCCTCTGAATGCAAGTTTCGAGTTGCTGGTCTCAGCTTAGAACACCTCTGCTTAAAACCAATGATTCTTGCACGGAGCATCCAGTAAAAGTGCTGAGGTTCAGGCCAAACCCAGTCCAATATCACAAGCCAAGTCTATTTCGGTGACTCCTCTATGGTTCTGCAGCAAATCCTTAGCACTTTGTGTGAAATTGATCTCCGGCATAGGGAGGAGAATTTTCTCATGGTGCTCTCTGATTTGCTGTGAGAGAAGGACACATGCTGAGTTTCATTTGTGGCCCAATTACAGCGCCAGACTAAGCTTCCCTTCCCTCACTTGTAGCTAAACCAATCTGCTCTGTACATTGTTTTGTTTCCTTTTGTTCTCCTTCCAGCCTGCCATGCCATCTCTGTCTCCTACCATTCTTCACACTTGTTATGGTTGTTTGGTGGCCAGAACAGCAGCTTATGACACTGAAGCCCGGAACTTTCCAGTTCGGCTTTGTTTTTGTAGAGCCAATGAAATACAAAGTCAATTTCAGTCATACTTTATTTTTACACTGTCCTTGTTATCACATGTACTAAAAGTAAATTATGCAGAATTACAAACAGCGGTTACACTTTATTTTAAGGTGTCCTTGTTACAGTGTAATTATACATTCAAGTACTCAGTAATATTAATTAACTACATGTACTTACTATAGGGATAGGATTACTTTGGGTTAGCGTTAGGGTTACTTGCATGTAATTATGCATAGTTAATTGTTATTATAATAGTAAGTACATGTAACATGTGTAACAAGAACACATTAAAATAAAGTGTTACGCAATCAACTAACCCTAAACCAAACCAAACCCCATCTTAACCCTACAGTAAATAAATGTTGTTAAAGGTGCAGTAAGCGATTTCTGAAAAACACTTGATATTTTAAATTAAATCAAACCAAATCAAAGCAACATTTATTTCTATAGCATGTTTAAAAACAACACATGTTGACCAAAGTGCTTTACACTCTTAACTAGAGGTCTGCGCGGGACTGTTTTTTTAGTCCCGCTCCCGCAAGGTTACATTCCGCACCCACACGCTCACGCTATATATTTACTCTTTGTTCACCCGCTGTCCACTTAGAATAATTTTCTTCCCGACCCGACCGTTCCCGCTAAATTTAGATCTCGTTTCCAGAATCTCACATTTAAATTTCCGTTTATTTTATTTATTTATTAATTTATTTTATTCGTCTTGTCAAGAGTCTTGAATTTATTGACTTTGACTTGAGTTTATATGAATTATCTTAAGACACAAAATTTGTTTAATATTTTATGCAACAGGGAAAAAAAGTTGTACAAAAATTGTATTTCTTATTTTTATTCGTCTTGTCAGGATACAATTCGGTTAACATTGACAACACAATAGGAAAAAAGTTTTGCAGAGAGAAAAAAATAAATATATAGGTTGTACAAAAATAGCCTATTAGTTATTTTTATTCGTCTTGTCAAAATACTAAATTCGTTTGACATTTTTCTGTTAACACAGTAGGAAAAGTGTTGCAGAGAAAAATAAATAAATATGACACCTTTCATTTAAAATTATAGGCTAAGCAAAATATAAACAAAACCGAGTTGAACGTCCTTCAAGGACAGTGCATCCACACTTTGCTCCTTCCTTATTCTGCTCTGTCACTCATCGACAACCTGCCTGTTCTGTCTGAGGGCCATATATTTACCACAGGTACAGCCTGCTCTGAGCATCGTTATGCACATGCCAGACCACGCAAATAAAACGCATGACGTTTAAAGCATGCCTGCAGCGCGTGCATAACAGTCCTGAGCGCAAACTGTACCAGTGGTCAATAAGAATAAAGCGCAGATATGCTGGTCTAAATGGATGTCGGGAACGGGATATTGTTAGACCGCCCTTACGAAAAAGAAGTTTAATCAAGTGTGCTATTAGTATACTTCTTTTAAACTAAAAATAGGAAAGTATACTTTGTCTACTTTTTATGTACTTCTCAGAAATGGGCTTTATGTACTTCTCAGAAATATACTTAAAATGACATTTAAGTATACTTGACTTATACTTAGAAAAAGTCAAAATATATTTTACCTATAATTGTGCTCCTAGAATCCGTGTTTTCATTGTTATACTGTAGGGGGCACTAGTACACATCTTCTGTACAGAATTTCCAAAAAACACAAGTGAAGAAGAAACCGAAACAACAGATGCTTTCACATGTAATCTAACACGATCATCAGACATAAAACAGCATCAAAACTGTGTAACATTATGGAATAAAATGTCGACCAATGAAGAGGTAATAATAACTGTCAAGCTTTGGGGTGTTGATCGACTTCATCTACGTTTTGATTATCATTCTGAATCCAATTCATAGTCTTTTTTTCAGCTTTTTGTTCAAAATGTTGTTTATTTCTTTATTTTTTATTTATGAAACATCCACATTCAAGTGTTTAAAAAAATACATGAAGCTAGAATAAAATGTTTTTGTTTATAAGCAGATACCCTGTTCTTTTGATGTTTTTTGTATGTTCAGATATTCATGTAACAAAATATATTCAAATGAATACCTAAATAGGGACATGGTAGTATACTTCAAGTATGATGTAAAGTTCACTTAAACTTACGAGTATACTTGCAGTATAAAACGACTAAACTAGTAGTTTACTGAGACTATACTTCAAAGTGTACTAAAAATGCTACTACAAGTATTTAATTAGTAAACTATCAGTATACCTATAAGTTCACTTTTAGTATAGTTGCAGTACAAACTAACCATTTTGATGTAAGCTAGTTGTGTACTCAGTTTACTACTGTTATACTTAAAGTATACTTTTATATACTAGAAAGTGGGCCAATTTAGTCCCAAGGAGTATTGAAATAGTAAACTTACAAGTATACTACTAGTACACTGATATTTGTATACTTACTACATAAAGTATACTTAAAAATATACGTGAACCTTACTTAAGTATACTTACTAAAATAAACTTGAAGTATACTACTTTTTGGTAAGGGCGCCCGCTCCCGTTCAAATTACACCAGAGTTACCGACCGCTACCGCGTTTTATTCGGGAATTTAATCCCGTGGCACAAAAAATCGGGTCGGCAACAAAAGAGCCGCGGGAATGCAGACCTCTACTCTTAACATTACCACAAATTAAGAACACACCCAATACAGATTACTACTCAGACTCCAGACCCCTAGGGGCAGTTGTAAGCAATAGAGTAGAGATGCCTTTTCAGCAAGGATTTAAAACATTCCAACGAGTTACAGGATCTAATATGAGGAAGGAGGCTATTTCAGAGACGTGGAGCTGCCACAGAGAAGGCACTATCTCCTTTAGTCTTTAAAAGGGGCATATGATGCGATTTCAAGTTTTCCTTTCTCTTTGGAGTGTTACAAGCTGATTGTGCATAGATAAGATCCCTGAAGTTGCAAAGACTAAAGTCTCAAAACCAAAGAGATATTCTTTATCAAAGTTAAGACTCTGCCACGCCCCCCTAAAACGGCATATGGCTCTGTCTTTACATTTATTTTGAAAGATGAAGCTCGCGATTATGGTAAGGGGCGTTACATTTCCGATGAGTGCTTGTGGTGTTCGGCCAATCACAATGCACTGGGTCAGCTGGCCAATCAGAGCAGACTGCGCTTGTCAGAAGGAGGAACTTTGTGGAAAAACGAAGCGTTGAGAGCGGCGGGGCATAGAGGACCTACAATAATGTACAGTATTTGAAAAATAATGTGTTTTTTGAACATTAAAGCATGTCAACATATTCTGTTACACCAAATACACAAAATAATGATCTTTAAAAAAGCATCATATGAA